TTCGCTCCCCGGCACTGTGTTCCCCGATTTAAAATAATCACTCGGCACTCAGCGTTCCCCAAAAAGTACAAATCCAAATTTATAACGCCACATAGTTACCGGGCCTTGTGTGAGGGGGGGGGCTATCACCACTGACAATGAACCAGGCCCCGCCCCCCCACGGCCTCCCAGTACTTCATACACCCGGAATTCACTCACACGGATCAGACACTTAGATTTGGTGATAACTTCTTTATTCCCGGACCCCCAGAGAAAACCCCGGAAGCCTCCGAAATCGGAACCATTTGGATATTTACCGATGAGACGTCTGTTGGGTTCTTTGATGAGCGGGCAGGACGGATTCCCTCGTCTTGCTCTCCTTCGTAGAGTTGGTGCCTCACAGATCCATAGTTGGTGGGACCAATCTGGTGGGATCTCTCTGATCGGCGGCCTAGGAAGCTCCTCCATATGATACGTGGCAACGGGACTAGGTGGACCGGAACACAATATGGACACACAAGAGGCTAAAAGTTCTTTGGCCGTGGTGGCTTTGGAGGACTCTTGATGAGATGGAACCTAATGCCGGATAGAATCTCGCAATGTGTACCCAACGCTCACTACTTCTGAGGCAGTGCTTCCTGTGGCACCGTGGTCTACATGTGGTGGAGTGTGGACCTGTGTCTACAACCTTATCAGAACCCACTGCCATCTACAGCGTGACCCCTGGAGGCCCCAAGCCTTCCAAGCCATAAAGGTCAACTGGTGAGCCACCAGATAGACGATCACCAAGTCCTGGTGACAGCCCACTATGAATACCGGGGAGGTTAGGCAACAAATCATGTCTACAATGATGAATGAGAACTACAATGCTAGAGACTCAACCAGCAGTGACACCCCCACCCCTCTGCAGACACAGCTGTAAAGTCTTCAGTCAACATGGATTGCCTTACATAGATCAGAGGAGAGCTCAGCCACATATTTTGTGAGGTGTATATCAAGGTGTGCGCCTTCCCCGTGTCAGATCTCTGATGAGTCATATAGAAGACATTTCTCGCACTCCAGGCACTATATACACCTCCGGGGTTGTGTGGGTTCTCTGATGTCTGATAAGAGAGGATGTCTCAGAAAAACACTTCCCGCACACATTACAGGAATACGGCTTCTCCACTGTGTGAATTCTCTGGTGACGTGAAAGGTGGCCCTGCTGTGAAAAACATTTCCCGCACTCACGGCAAGCGTACGGCTTCTCCCCTGTGTGAAATCTTTGATGTATAGTCAGATCTGATTTCCGTGAAAAAGATTTCTTACACTCGAAGCAGGAATACGGCTTCTCCCCGGTGTGAGATCTTTGATGCATAACAAGATGGGATTTCTGGGCAAAACAATTCCCGCACTCAGTGCAGGAGTATGGCTTCTCCCCTGCGTGAGACTTCTGATGTCGGGAAAGATGAGACTTCCGTGAAAAACTTTTCCCGCACTCTGGGCAACAGTACAGCTTTTCGCCCGTGTGAGATTTCAGATGTCTATGTAAAACTGATTTTCTATAAAAACTTTTCCCGCACTCAGGACAGGAATACGGCTTTTCCCCTGTGTGGCACCTTAGATGTTCGGTAAGCTGTTGTTGATCTGCAAAACTTTTTCCGCACTCAGAACAAGAATAGGGCTTTTCATCCAAGTGAGAGTTTTTGTGCCTATCTAAAACTTTTTTTGTGGCAAAACTCTTCCCGCATTCAGGACAGGAATATGGCCTCTCCCCTGTGTGAGATTTCTGATGTCTGCATAGATAGGCCTTCTTTACAAAACTTTTCCCACACTCAGAACAAGAAAATGGCTTCTCCCCTGTATGAGATTTTTGATGCATGGAAAGAATGCACTTGTGTAAAAAACTTTTCCCACACTCTGAGCAGGAATACTGTTTACCGCTCCTGTGAGAGTTTAGGTGTTCTTCCGCACTGTGGGGCCCCCGATGGACATTATGGTCTTCTCCTGGACTATACTGTGTGATGTCCTCATCTTCTGGAGACAACGTGAGACATTCCTCTGAGATCTTCCCGACGTCCCGTCCATGGACTACAAATAGAAAGAAAGAGGTGGACATGAGCGGGTTGGTTCACCTCACCCAGGACTCCGCCCACATCAGTCAGCTTTGGTGAGGAGGATCATATTTGGTAGATGGTTCCTCCTGACCTCCGACCAGAAGACTTCTAGATTCACCCACCTTAGTCTGTCATCTTCCCACCATGGGATGTCCTACACTTCCTTATTTCCCCCATCAGTCATTTAGTAATAAGAGTGGAGCTGAGCCCCACCAGAGGTCAGAGAGTGAGGATGGCTGAACCCAACAAAGATGAAGACTGGACTCATCCTGAAGACCATCATTGGCTCTTTGATTTGTTCTCGGGTCAATTGCTCTATACAGATATCATTCCATTACAAATCTGAGGCGTTACTGTCCCTTTAAATCTGCCACTGGAAGGGATTTGTTATATCTGTGCAAAACTGAAACATGTTGATCCTGCCAGAAATTCAGAGCCGTCCTTCATCCAGTGTTCACTTCCTGTGTCAAGGAGAGTAAGCAGCCCTCCCAGTACTTAGTCTGACACTACAGAATGGTTAGCCTGTATGTTGAGGACATGGAAGAGTGGACAGGCCTCGGGAGTTTGGCAAGAGAAAAGTGGGCAGGGCTGACACCACAAATCATGAGTGCGGTCAACACAAAACTGGACTGAGGAGCAGAGTGCATATCTGGAGGATCAACATGTTATTTGTTTGTTGCCGGGTCTTCATAGGGATGAGACACGGGACATGAGGATGTCTTCCAGAGATGTCCTACATATGACCCACCTGTGCTGATCTCTGTAGGCGTGTCCTCCTCTATGGATGTCCTCATCATCCCGGCCTCCTCCGTATATCGCTGATCATCCCTCACATACGTCTCTTCTACTTCACCCTCAACTTTCATCTTCATCAGATCTTCACCCTAAACCAACAGAACGGCAGAAAGTCTCATCCTGTAGAGTCCGCCCATCATCTTCACATGTTCCCACCCCTCAACTCCACCCACCTGATCATGGTGGGGAACAGTGAGATCTTCCTGGGTGGGATCCCGGGAATACAGAGGACGGGGACATCTCTCTGGTGGGTTCCTGTTACCAGGTGGCTTCATCATAATGTCCTTGTGTCCTTCAGAAAGCTCCTCCATCACTCCGTACTCCTCGTCCTCCTCTTTAACAACAATATTATAGTCCCCGAGGATTCCAATCTGAATATATAAAACATTTATTATAACAAACACGCTTGTATATAAGTGATAACTATCAGTGATTGATTGGTTTAGTATCCTCTCGGTCATGTGACTCCGGTCCTCCTCCTCCATCTTCACTGATGTGGTCATGTGATGTATGGAGGTCTCTCTGTAGAGGGATAGAGGAGAATGATGGGGACTGTTCTGGTTGTATAATATTAGGATGGGGATATGAGGGGTTAATAGGCGGGCTGCCCCCAGAGGGTAATTGGCTCATGTAGATCCGGGGTATTTAGTGTTTGTTGGGTCTCGGGGGAAGGAAGGGACCAGCACGGATTTCAGGGTCACCATCATCAGCGGTATACTGGGGGAGCGTGGACTTTGGATGGAGGAGCTCATTCATAGGGACAGATCAGTGGAGGGATTCATAGGGATGAGATTCGGGACTGAGGTGGATCTCTGGGATTCATATTTGAGGAAACCCAGAACTTTTTAGACACACTTTGCGTGCCCTGAACTTGGAACGACCCATAATGCACTGCTTAGCCCCTGGTCAGCTGATCCATCAAGAATGTGGAAGAAGAGATGACCCCGCCCAAGTCAATGCTGTCTCTACTGTGTCTCAGACCCGTCACTGCCGGTGTGTTCATCAGGACTACAAAGAAGGACAACGGAGGGGAGACAAGGGACAGAGGGACTTGTTTACAAAAGGTCAATCCCTCCAAATGAGGGGCCAGTTGAGATATTCTTCACACTTTCACCCAACATTCCCCTGGTGCCCGGCCTCTAAAGGCAGAAAAGGCCAGACCTCGATTAATGCAGTAGAAGTCCTTGCCTCTGAACCAGGAGAACATGACGTGTGGGGTAGGATGCAACTGAAAACAAAGGATGAGGATGGCGGGGACTGTTCTTCTCTTCAACAAGTTCTGCTCCCACCGAGGTCTATGATGGAGCTTCATGTGGTTTCAAATACACAGGTGCTGCCACAAGGGGACTTTTGGCAGTAGAGAGGCCATGGCCACCTCAAGTCTCTGCTGTCCACGGTGAAGGACCCCCGGGGGGGGGTCTTTGTGAGGATAGTGAGGTCCGGGCACCCCCATACTGATTAGGAAATTCCATCACGTCTAGTCAGGCTGCCCACGGATCTTCCGGAGCTCCCGACACCTGCTGATGTGGCCTCTTTGATGGTGTGTAGTCCTTGTCTCAGGCCCGGTGGGGTAATGGTCCTTTATTGGTGGGTTATCGGAAGTTGGAACTGGCCAGATCACCGATTCATCATCACCGGACAGCTCCGTTCACTCTCGAAGGATTGCCTGCCTGACAACGAGCATACGACGGGTCCTTCACCCCTCCTCGCCAACATCATGGTCACACATTCACTCAGCGTACAGAACTTTGGACCCGGGGATGATACGTTGATAATGACTATCTATGGTTGGTCTAGAACAGGGGTCAGCAACCTACGGCTCCGGAGCCGCATGTGGCTCTTTCATCCCTCTGCTGCGGCTCCCTGTCCAGGGGGCGGAACTACCATCAGGGCCTTGGGACCTGAGGCTGTGGGGGGGCCCAGTGAGGTCCGGTCCTGGGAACCCCCCCCTGGTAATACCAGGGGGTGGCATGGCAGAGGTGACAGGGGAGGGGGTGGAGGAGGTCGGGCCCCAGCAACAGCAGGTAAGAGGAGTTGGGAGGAGGTACAGGGAAAGGGACCCCAGCGACCAGCCCACCTGAGGCCCTGCAGAGTCCACCATAGAGAGTCTCAGGTGGGCTGTGCAGGATCTATGGTGTGCTCTGCAGGGTCACTCACATGTGGGCTCTGCGGGGCTTTAGGTAAGCCCAGAGTCCGGTGCGTTACTGAGCCCAGAGTCCGGTGCGTTACTGAGCCCAGAGTCCGGTGCGTTACTGAGCCCAGAGTCCGGTGCGTTACTGAGCCCAGAGTCCGGTGCGTTACTAAGCCCAGAGTCCAGTGCGTTACTAAGCCCAGAGTCCAGTGCGTTACTGAGCCCAGAGTCCAGTGCGTTACTAAGCCCTGAGTCCAGTGCGTTACTAAGCCCTGAGTCCGGTGCGTTACTAAGCCCACATATACCTATATACACGGCATATAGGTAAAAAAAACGATATATGACGTGTCATCTTCATTTTAGATGTCAGAAGGGTTTTGTGGCTCCCGGAGTTTTCTTTTCTGTGAGAAACGGGTCCGAATGGCTCTTTGAGTGTTTAAGGTTGCTGACCCCTGGTCTAGAAGGTCCACATGAACCCTTCCGGCGCCGACGTACCTCACGGATAGGTCAAGTTTGGTATCTACACAAAGCTAATTTTGTACAGTGGCATCAGACCAGCGGCTCCGTCATACTCATGGACAAACTTCCTCTACTTCTCCCTCAGAGCCGTGCTGATCTTCCCTCCATGGCACTGTGCGGTCTGAAACCTCATAATCCTCCACCTCTTCCTCACTCGAGTCCAGCTCATGGAAAGCGCCGCCTTCTGGAACTCTGATGTGTGGTACCTCTGCTGCGTGGCCTCTGACCTCGGCCTGGAGCGTGGATTCCTCAGGAGACACAGAGCCACCTTCTCCCGCTGTGATCACCCCGCTCTCTTCCTCCTTCTGTCACTGCCAATCCTCCTCCTGAGAACCAAGGAAGACCCGAGCGTTCCTCACATCTTCCCCTTCTGTATCTGCTTCTGTCTCCTCCCGGGGACAATCCAGAATCAATGGAGACCTCGAAGAATTCTGCCGACTCTTCAGAACCAATATACCTGGATCTGGATGGATTATTGGAGGAGGAGGAAGGAAGAGCAACACAGAAGGAGGAGGAGGAGGATGAAGTAAGATGGAATAGAAGAGGAGAAAGAAGAAGAAAGAGCAACAGAAGGAGGAGGAAGAAGAGGAGAAGGAATGAGGAGGAAGAGAAAGTGAAAGAAAGTAGAAGAAGAAGAGGAGGAGGAAGTAGAAGAGGAAAAAGAGGAGGCGGAGGAGAAAGAGGAGAAGGAAGTAGAAGAGATTAAAAAAGAGGAGGAAGTAGAAGAGGAATAGGAAGAGGAGAAGGAAGTAGAAGAGGATGATGAAGATTAGAAGGAAGAGGGGACATCAGCGATGCTGGCTGGACACTGTCTGCTCTATGCTGGAGGAAGTTGGAGCCACCACTGCAACACACACAACTCATCCGCACTTCACTCAATCCCTCCACTGATTGATCCCTCTGAAGGAGCTCTCCCTGTACACTCACCAAACACACCGACACTATTACTGACCTCCCACCCCTGCTTATAGTGAGGGGCGGGGTTATGGCTGACCTCCCACCCCTGCTTATAGTGAGGGGTGGGGTTATCCACCATTATTGGCTGCTGACCGGGGTCAAAGTCTAGGCTGGGCATTATGAGTGATGTCCGAAATTAATCAACTGCAAATTCAACCAAAATCCTGAAAACTGGAGTCAAATATACCAGAGACGGCTCAGGTGAAAATTGAAGACAATGTTTCGGCTCCCTCAGAGGGGAAATGTTCTGACCCTGAAAGGGTTAAATATACATTTCCACACTATATATGGGGGAGTTACTGGGTGTATATATAATATAATATCTTATTACCTCCTCTGCTGCCAGTTCCCGCAATGTCTCCTCTCGGCTTCCTCTAGCCACACCTCTCACCCAGGAACTTCCTATTTATAGGTGATATCACTTCCTGTCATAGAGACTTCCTGTCTGGGTATTGGTGAGATCAACTCCTGGTGGAGCTCAGAGGAACTGCAGCCCCCAGAAACCTCTTAGCGTGAACACGGCCTTGTGCTGTATGTTCTGTATATCCTTATAGATCCACACAAGTCATCTCACCCTACAGTCACATGACCACCAGTATATAGAATATCTCACCACATGACCTCCAGTATATAGAATATATATCCCACCACATGACCTCCAGTATATAGAATATATATATCTCACCACATGACCTCCAGTATATAGAATATCTCACCACATGACCTCCAGTAGTGGTGCGGTTACCATGGTAACACCTGCGATGGTGGGCCTCTTTACCTGAGTCTGGTGTCACCCGGTAAAGAAGTCGCTCTTTATTCTTTCTTTATTGACAAAAGAATTGTCACATGGTACAGCGACGTTTTCGGAAACCCGTACGGGTCCCTTCTTCAGGCAAACAACCTCACCATCACAGGCATCCCCATAGTAACCCCACCATCACAGGCATCCCCATAGTAACCCCACCATCACAACCATTAGGCATCGCCATAGTAACCCCACCATCACAACCATTGCCATAGTAACCCCACCATCACAGGCATTGCCATAGTAGCCCCACCATCACAGGCATCGCCATAGTAACCTTACCATCACAGGCATCGCCATAGTAACCCCACCATCACAGGCATTGCTATAGTAACCCCACCATCACAGGCGTTGCTATAGTAACCCCACCATCACAGGCATCGCCATAGTAACCCCACCATCACAGGCATCACCATAGTAACCCCAACATCACAGGCATCGCCATAGTAACCCCACCATCACAACCATTGCCATGGTAACCCCACCATCACAGGCGTTGACACGATAAACCTGCCCAGCCACCTCCTCTGACCTGGGGACTGTTCTCCTGCGTCTCCTTGACCAGAACTTTGTTAATAATGAGCATGGAGGGGATTTCCCAGGACACAACTCGGGACCACACTTGATGCAGGACTAGAGCATAAAAAAAGGGACTGTCCTGGCAAACCCCAGACAGCCGGCAAGTATCCACTCCACCCTTACCTGAGATGTCTAGAGATATGAATGGGGGGCATGAAAGGTTTGCAAAGCCTGATGGGAAGGTGTGCATTACTCCTCCACATAGTGAAGAATCAAAGCCTGACCAGTAAGAGCTCCGATGGACAATTTGTGGTACCGTAGCTTTTACACCATTTGACGGGCGCGCACAATTTTTAACCCGGGCATGTTGGGTGTCTATTTACTCGCCACTACCTCGTCCTTTATACTCTTTATATAGTGCGGTACTATATTGTGGTTTTTTTGTATTTTTTATCTAAATTATGGGGTTGATAAAGAGTTGCGCTAATATCATTTAACGTAATCATTTGCAACCATTTTATTCTACAGGGTCTCCGCTTTCAGGAAACATAGAACTCTCGGGGGGTTTCAGTAATTTTCAGGCCTCAAATGTGGATTATAACACGCGTGCAAAAAAAAAAAATCGTGTTACATACAAGCACTCAGCACAAGGCCGTGTTCACACTACGACACGTCTCTCAGGGCTGCAGTTCCTGTGAGCTCCACCAGGTGGTGATGTCACCTAGACCCAGACAGGAAGTCTCTATGGAAAACAGACAGGAAGTGATGTCACCTATAATAGGCAGTTCCAGGTTTGAGGTAAGGCGGGAGGAAGTAGAGAGGAGACATTGCTGGAACTGGCAGCAGAGGAGGTAATAAGATATTATTTTATATTTACACCCAGTAACCCCTCCCCCCCGTCATGTCCGTCCTCATCCTCCATAGTCACTGTGACGTCTTTATTCTCGTACACACATATATAGAGTGCGAAGATGTATATGAACCCCTTCCGGGACAGAACATTGAACCATTTCCCCAATTTGAGTGTCACATGACACAGCCGAGGGGAGGGGGTGGGGGAACTTCTATCCACTGTGCTGTATCCGAGGTCTGGTAACGACGGACGGGGGAGGGGAGATTTACGTTATTAACCCCTCATATCATACAATCAGCACAGCCCAGATAACGCTCCACTATCCGTCCACACAGATCACATGACCACGTCAACGACGATGGAGGAGGACCAGAATCTCATGAATGAGAAGATACTGAACTTCACCCTGGAGATCATCTGCCTGCTGACCGGAGAGGTGAGGAGGATTCTGGGAGGTCACATGACATCACTCTGATCTCTATTCATAAAACACAGACCTGACCGGAGAGGTGAGGAGGATTCTGGGAGGTCACATGACATCACTCTTGTCTCTATTCATAAAACACAGACCTGACCGGAGGGGTGAGGAGGATTCTGGGAGGTCACATGACAT